ACAAAGTTTTGTGAAGTAATTAAGCAGACCAAAAAGTGTCTAATACCTTTGTTAGAACAAGCTTAGCCATTTGATATATGAAATTAACAGTTGCAGGTGCATTTATTACATATACTCGAGAAATTGAGTCAGGAAACAATTGCTAAAACAATACACGATAAAGAGCCAAAGTCACAAGGAACTTTGCAATGGATTCATACCAACACTCTTTATTAGGCAAAACAACTAGATTCAACTCTGTTTGCAGAAGATTCACCTGTAAATAGTCAATGTTGTTTAGGTATAATTTAATCGCAGACGCGAATATTACGCTTGTACTGAATTCAGCTATATCGTATATCACCACTATACCCAATTTACAACCTCGCTTAGCTTCCTCCTTCCTGTAAATGCATAAAGCTGAGACGAAAGTTTTATCATTAATTAACAACCTAAAAGATAAACTTCTCGTTCCACCTCTCTCCGTTAAAATCCAAGGTCAGGATGTAACATGTTGTTTTTCAACAGTACTTTAATATTTTACACAGTTGCTCATGCAAAATAATGATATACTTGCCTTAATAATGCCATGCTAGCTTCGCATTCTAAAATCGAGAGTCTGTAAAGGTCGGAAACTCGTCCCGTTGGTATAAGGCTTTTAGGTCGAACCCGCCCCATTGGTTGCATAGATATAATATTCCCATTCTTGTCATTCCCCATTAAACCTCCTGTAGCAAAAAGAGCTTCTTTAATCAAGAAAGAACAATTAAACCCTTCAAGAAGAAACAATTCACAAGAATAGCCCGTGAAGGCACTGTTTTATGGAAAGATATAACATAACCAAACATAAAAACAAAATAGCGGTTGTCCTTGAAGCTAAAGAAGCAAATACTGAACAACTGTTAGGTATGTAATACAACTAATAAAAGAACAAAAGGGAATTTACCAGGGAAGTAGCAAGCTGTAGCAGTCAGACCGTTAATTACATCGCTCACTTCTTCTGGACTTTCAAATTTATGATCAAAGCCGCCTAAGCTACCAATGGTATCCAAAGCATATTCCAGTTTTGGAACAACAACATCTGAAACTCATAATCAAGTAAATACAAGTATGAAATCCCCAATACTGTTTCTTTGAAAAAAGTAACTAGACACAGTAAAACTTTAAAAATAGCGGACTTTTACTTTCTTACGAGCATAAACAGACCTTCTTGAACGAACTTAGAACTAGCTATTTGAATAGAAAAGAACAACACCTTTAAGTAAAGAAAGCCTGTCATACAAGAAACTAGAATACGAGAAGTAGAAAGACTGAAAACAAGTTTTTGTTTTAAGTGACCGCCTATCTAACGTTCATTGACAAAACAAAGCTAATTAAGACTGTTTAGGATGCTGCAACTATTGAAAAGGTCACTGAGCAAATGAACAACAATTGGAATGTTTCCAAAACTGGTCTGCGCGAAATTGAATGAACTACAATAGATTGCCGCAGATTTGAGACTGATCTTGATAAGGAGCAGTAAAGGAAAAGTCTGTCATCCGACGCCCTTTTAAAGCTCTTACCGACATTGTAACGATACTGACGAAGCCAACGTTGTAGTGAGTAATCGTCGTTATATGCAGGCCATTTTTTGAGTCTTTTACTAACTCGTTTTCGTAATTCCTCGATTTCCTTTAAGTGCCGGTTGATCGACGAATTTGTTGCTAGGGAAATACTTGTTTTTACTGCCTCTAAGGTTCCATTTTCTTCTCCGCACGGTTGTACCATTTTTGAACTGCTTATTTGCAAATTTAAACCTGAAACGGATTGTCTAGGAAACACAGCAGTTGTTTGCTTTGGATAAACAGCAGGTAATTACAGCAGTAGCAACAATAAATTGTTATGAATAACAAAAATTACAGTCGACTCTTACGCCCCCGCAGGTCTGCAACAGCAGAACGACAACAATAAAAGCAATTATGCCTACGCAAGCTTTTTTACTTCATTGCTTCACTACTAGTTAACAAACAAAAGAATACTGTAACACTGCAAAATACCAAGACTGTGGCCTAGTTAATCTCGTCTACCCAACCACAACTTTAGGCGAAAGGCAAGAATCAAATGATAAACAGGGAGGAACTCCGACGACGACACAACGAATGCGGGTCATATCAGCTGATATTCAAGTGTAAACAAGCAGCTAAGTGCTTGTTGGGTATTTGCCAGCAGCGCTGTTACCAGTAGCAAGTGCCTTGCTTGCCGGAGGGGCAAAGGGAATGCCCATTACGTCACAACTTTCCATCATAATGTTGCCATTCTCAAACAATTATGACTGCTATTTGGCTTTGACAGCACTCAGCTGCTTTTAAAACGATTACTTTTTTTAAATCCAATTTTAAAAACTTCTAGGTTTAGTAATTTTTCGTACAGTCGTAGTCAAATTGTAATACTACTGAGGAATTTGAACTTTTTTAGTCAGCACAATAAATAATCAGAAAAAGTTTTTACGCATCTTACCATAGCAGTACTGCAAAATCAGTTTGTTAAATTCTGTCAGCGTAAAAAGTTGATTTGATAGAAATGAAAAAAAAAAAAAACAAGTAAACAAAAATTTTTTTTCTTTTTTTGAGACTTTAAACAAATTTACTGGAATTGTTTGAGATATAGATCGTCTTATTTGCCATAGTTTTACTCGATTAGTTTCTAGAGGACTTCAACCAGTGAAAAATTAAGACAAAGAAAAATCCACTTTTTACAGTGGAAAGTAAACGAATTGGGGGAACACAGACTGTCGTCGGTACCGGTTCGAGGAAGTCTAGTCAGCAGTAGCTGATATGTATCATTTGTAGTATTGTGATGGTTTTGCTTGTAACATTGCTATTTTTTACTTGTTTCTACAAGTCGCAGTAATGCTCATATACTTTTACTTTGGAAATTATAGGGATTTAGGGGAATTTAAAGGACAAGTAAAAACTGAACTTTTCAACAACATATATAT